GAAAGGTTGTTTCCTTCCCAGCAAAGCCAAGAACACCTGAGTCTGTCTTAGACCAAGAGACATTTCAGTGTATTCATAATACTTTCCAAAATTGGGTGACTTTGTGGGGTCTTTTTTCTTTGTTGTTGTGTGATTCTTAGGCATTTCTATAGTGGCTAACATATCAATGGCCTTCAAATATTTAATGAAGAAATGAATGGATTTGCTTAATATGATGAAATATCAAGACAGTCTGCCCTCCGTATCTTTAGGCTCCACCTGCTGGAATTCAGGAAACCACTGATGGAAAATACTCAGGGGGAAAATTGTATGTTTGTTTTCCAAAGGTAGTTGGTAGATAGGCCTGCAGTAATTGCTTCTGTATTGAACCTGTATAGATTTTTTTCTTGTCACTATACCCTAATCAATACAATATAACAACTATTTACATAGCGTTTACATTGTATTATATAAGTAATCTAAGAGATAAGTAATAAGTAATCTAGATATATGTAAGTTGTATACACATACTACACTATTTTAAATAAGGGATTTGAGCATCTGTGGATTCTGTGTTCATGAGGGGCCCTGAAACTAATCTCCCACAAATAAAGAGGGACAACTGTGTATAGTCCATTCCATTTAAATAAATAGCAATAACAAACACTGAGGGGCTGGGGTTATAACTCAGTGGTAGAGCACTTGTCTAGCATGTGTGAGGTACTGGGTTCGATCCTCTGCACCACATTAAAAATAAATAAATAAAATAAAGGTATGTGTCCATCTACAACTAAAAAAGTTTAAAAGAAAAGAAACACCTGAATTTTCATATTCCATCCCATTTACTCGACTCTTGTTTCACTATATGCTTTAGATAGAAAGCCACAGACCGTGAATGAAGAAAATTATCCAGATTCCTGTGAAGAAATAAAGTCTTTTAAGTGCCTTCCCATTACCACTTCTTAAGGCTGACAATTAGTAACTTTCTCAAAAATAGCTACATATCACTGTGCCAGGGAAAGAAGAAAAGGTGGCACTTAACAGTGAGAACTCTTTAGTCATACTTGGTTTTTATTCAAGCTGCACAGCATAATAGCTAGCAGTATAACTTTCTTCTAAAATAAGGTTTCTTCATAGGGTTACTAAGAAGACATCTTCAAAGAACTTAGACCAGCACCTAGTACAACATAGTGAAGCACTTTTAAAGGAGATAAGGACTTGCACTGGGGTTGTGGCTCAATGGTAAAGCATTTGCCTAGCATGCATGAGATGCTGGGTTTGACTTCCCCAGAACTGCCAAATAAATAGAGAGAGATGGGAACTGGGGTTGGGGCTCACTGGTAGAGTACTTGCCTGGCATGTGTGAGGCACTGGGTTCAATTCTCAGCACCATATAAAAATAAATGAATTAAATAAAGGTCTATCAACGTCTTAAAAATGTTTTTTTAAAAAGAGAGAAAGATGGACAAAATAATCATGTAGCAAATCTTTATTGGATTACTCTTGTCTGCAGACAGTATGATGTGGGGCTGGGACAGCTGGGAGTTCAGACTGTCTTTTTCCTCCACACTCTACTTCCCTCTAATCTGGTTTATAAGTGAAATAATAATGACAATAATGGTAATATCAAAAACTGCTGCCATTTTCTGAGTACCTTCTGTGTTTCAATAGCTTTATATTTGTTTTCTACTTATATTATTACAACTTTCTTGATAGTAATAGTGTTACCATTTTATAAATGAGAAAATCAAGGCTCTGAGAAGTTAAGTAATTTGCCCAAGATACATGCCTAAGTAGAAAACCCAGGGTTTGGTCCCAAATTTGCCTGACTGCAGAGTCTTACTTAATCCATTCATCAGGTGATTATAAATATATTTGAAATGCCCTGACAAGGTTGTAGAAGACCTCTACATATACGATATTGTAGTGCTTAGTGAGCCTGGTTACATTTTGGTGTTTCTTTTAATATTCCCGCAATCTCAAGTTCCTGTTGAAAGTTACTACAGAAAATAGTACACAATGCTTAGTACTTCTCTTCCTGTGAATGAACTGCTTTGTTGGTCCTAAGTCTACAAAACCAGTATTGCAACTGAACTACTACAGGCATGGTGATGCTTCCCTAGCTCTCCCTCTCCTGCTATGAATTGCACCAAGGAGAGAGCCAAAGACCACATTGACCAAACCACCTTCCTGACAGGCCTGCCCCCACCCCCATCAGACTTTTGTGAATTTCACCAGGATGTGGGGAAGATCAGAATGAAGTGGCTCTATAAGGACTCTTTGAGATTGAAATTTCACAATGCTATTTGGAGGGTATCTTCAACTTACACATTCTAAAACTCAGCCTGTGATTATGGTTTAAAGTACAACCATTTTAGTTCCTATTTCAGGATCTCCACACATACACACCCCAGAATTTCTTATGCTTTTCAGTGTAACTGAAATTAACCTTTTCTTCCTTAAACCAGATTCTTGAACATCTAGTCCTTGACTCATTTGAGACTGTGGTTTTCCAGAAAATAAGAAACATGTATCTCTGTGTGTACATGTGGGTTCCAAGGTGAATAGGAGTGGTTAGTCCTAAGTTGCATAGAGAAGGTAAACTCTCTGACAGCCATTTTGGAAATTGGAACACAGAACTGAACTGAGGATACACTGTGAAGAGTTCTCATTGGCTTCCCTTTGCCTCCTGATCCACAATGTGATTCCACCAGGTTTAGACTGTGTCAAACATTCTTTTCACAGATGCACTCCCTTTTCTCTTCTGAACCTAAAAACTATTACTACACTTTTTCTACCCTTCCTGTATATTTCCTTGGGACTTTTTCTCTAAAAGACAATAGTTGGCAATAATGGTTTCACAGAAGGAGTGCTCACATTTCACATCTATGCTCTAGGCATTTTACATTCTTAATCTCATTTAATTTTCACAGCATCCTAACGGGTAGATGAATTATCTATCCCCACATTTATAAATAGGGAAGCTATGGTGTGGGGAAGTTAACTTCCCTAGGGCACAGGAAGTTAGAAAGTGGCAAAACTTAAAGTCACTTTATTCTCCCTGACTTCATGGTTGTGCTTTCCCCGTGAAGCTGAGATGATGAGGATTGTTACTGTTATTACTGTTAGGGCTGCTTGCTCCCAGTTCTTATGTCATCCAAGGGAGAGAGTACTTTGCGTGAGGTACAAATGTGCATGGTCTGAAGGTGTGAACTGAGCCGGAGTTCACATTAACACCATGGACCCTCGCAACAAGCTGCTGATTGAGTACTTTATTATTGCAACTTTACAAGTGGGGAAGCTAAGGCTCACCAAAATCCCGAAGCTAATCAGTCTGGCAATGGAAACTGGATCCAGTCCCTTGTGGGGAATTTCTTAAAGTTTACTATGCATAACAATGCTGTGCACCAGCTGGGAGTAGTCAGTCCCTAAGATAGTACATGACAACATCAAACAGTAGGCATGTAGCTTACAAAAAGTTAGAATATATTTTTCCAGTTAGAACATGAGATTGTACAAAGGCTTAGCAAGATAGGAAACTTGAATTCATGCCAAAGCTCACTAAATTTTTTTGTGCTTTTTTTTTGGAGGATGAGGGTACCAGAGATTGAACTCAGGGGCACTCAACCCCTGAGCCTCATCCCTAACTCTTTTTTGCATTTTATTTAGAGACAAGGTTTCACTGAGTTGCTTAGCACCTGACTGTTGCTGAGGCTGGCTTTGAATTCAAGGTCCTCCTGCCTCAGCCTCCCAAGCTGCTGGGATTACAGGTGTGCGCCACTGCACTGGGCTTTTTGTGCATATTGTACACATTTGAGTACAATGTTTCCAGAGTGCAGCTTGGTTTTGTTTGTTTGTTTGTTTCTGTTTTTGTTTTTTGTATTTTTTTAGTTGTTGATAGACCTTTATTTTTTATTTATTCATTTATGTGTGGTGCTGAGAATCATCCCAATGCCTCACACATGCTGGACAAGCACTCTTACCACTGAGCTATAATCCCAGCCCTGTAACTTGACTTTTGGTTTGGTTTGGTTTGGTTACTGGGATTAAATCCAGCGGTGTTTTACTACTAGCTACATCCCCAGTCCTTTTTAATTAATTTATTTATTTATTCATTCATTTATTTTTTGAGACAAGGTCTCACTAAGTTGCCAAGGTTGACCCTGATCTTGGCATTTTTCTGCTTCAGATTCCCATGTTGCCAGGAGATATTCAGAGAGCATTCTGCATATAAAAGTTGTAGATACCATATGAGGAGGAGTATAAGGGCAAGGCTATTCACTGTTTTGAAGTATAATGCCGTTGTATTCCATAAATGAGTAAATAAATGATAATGGTGCTAGGTGGCCTAAGGATGGAAAAATACCATCCTGGATGGCCGTATGCCATCTGTATTAGTGAGTTATTCATATGGGTATCTGGTTAAAAACAGGTTGCATGGATGAACACTGAGAGAGTGATTGCTTAGGAAACTGTACTTGTTGCCTTAAAAGGATATAGATAGATAGATAGATAGATAGATAGATAGATAGATAGATCTATATATATCTTGCTACCCCCAGGTAGTGGCTGTCAGAGCAGCCACAGTCACTTAAATATGTTTTACTCATCTGTTTTTTTCCTATAGAACATATGAGATTAAAAAATCTTTATCAATCAGCAAGTAATTGAAATTCTGTGATTATCAAATTCATGATGGTTATCCACACCAGCAAATTTTCTTTGAACCTTAAAAATACTTGCTTTTAAAAAGTCCTTTTCCAGTCTCTCATTCACTTTTTTGAGAAGAAACCTCAATTCATGTATACAATTCATTCATCAATATTTATTGAGTACTTGAAATTTGTGGGTCATTGTGCTAATTGCTAGGGAAGCCTCCTCACTAGAGAGATGTCATCTCAGTTCTCACAGAGTGAATAGTGGTGACATTGTTAATGGAGCATATTATAAAATCTATTGCAGAGAAATGCAGTGTAGTTTGAGAGCATAGATGAAAGTAACATTTATTTCCATTCCAATAGATTTCGGTTTTGGAAATTTCTTTAAAAGTGGTGAACTGCTGGCAACATGGTGTGGCAGCCCCCCTTATGCAGCCCCAGAAGTCTTTGAAGGGCAGCAGTATGAAGGACCACAGCTGGATATTTGGGTATTGCTTTGCTTTGCTGTGTTAAATGCATCTATAATGATAATACTTGCTACTTTGGCCCATGGTAGAAACTCCTGGCACTTGACACATAAGCAGTATTTCATACGTTCCCCATCTGCTGGAGTGTAATTAGAGCATCTTGAAATCAATCCCTAGGAAAGAATTTCTAGGGACAGGTGTTATCATCCTAATATTAGCAATAATTTAAAGTTAAGCAGTAAGCAAAATGATGAAATTCAGATCATTTGTTATTTTTTATACTTATTGCAGTAGTCAGGGTTGGAGTTTCTTTCCCCCAAAATTCTGAGAAAGTAATAAATTTGGACAGGAATATTTCAGTCCGTATGATTTTAAGAGCCCTGAGGATTTTGAGGAAGATAGAGTGTTTAAAGTTCTCCCTGGAAAGTGTACTGTTTTCTTCCCTAGAGCATGGGAGTTGTTTTGTACGTCCTGGTCTGTGGAGCTCTGCCTTTTGATGGACCAACTCTTCCAATTTTGAGGCAGAGAGTTTTGGAAGGAAGATTCCGGATTCCATATTTCATGTCAGAAGGTAACAAGTTGTCTCTTACTAATTGTGTACTTTATAGAATTTTTGTCCCAAATGAAATGCCTAGGCTAAAGCTTCCCTTTTTCTGAGATTTGGGTACAAATAAAATGACTTAGTCATTTTAAAAGCCATAGAAATAAGCTACCCACTCCATCATGTAGATGAGACAAGTTCCAGCCTCCCTTCTTATAACTGAGAACAGAAGTTTCCCAGATTAAGAGCAGCAAGTCTTCCCATTCACTCTGGGTCTATAAATGTCCCATGTTTATTTTAGACTTATAGAAGCACTTCATAGATACAGGCTCACAACCATTTTACTCTAAGTACAAAATGGATTTTGCAAAATTAAAAAATTTTAAATTAAAAGCCAACTGGCAGAACTCTAGTGAATTAAGTTGAAATGCCATAATCCCTGCCTATCTGTATTGGGTTGTTACATAGGCAGTAGTTAAATTTACTCCTTAGTTTTGTGATTTTTTTTTTTTTTTCCATCCTACCTCTGGTGTTCCTACTAATAGTAGAAGTAATGCTTTTGAGCAGATAAGAGCATAGTTTGTGGAGCTTTATATCCAGACTCTACCTGGTTTTAATCCTTACTCCACCACTCACAGCCGTATGGCTTTGGCAGTCATATTCCTTTCTTGGCTTCAATTCCTCATCTATAAAATGGAAATAATAATTGTTTCTACCCTAGGGTATCATGAGAATAATTACTCTGTACAAAGCACTTACCGTGGTGCTTGAGGTGTAGTGAGTGATATGACATCACCCCCTCGTGTGAGGGTGATGAAGAGCATGATATCAGCTCAGAGAATCAGCTAGTGCTCAGAGTTGCAGCAGTGCAGTTTTCCTAGTGTAATCAGAAGTAAATAATGTTTTGTGGACCTTTTTCTCAGCAGCACTCATGAGAAAAGTAACAGCCCACTGGAGATCTCTGTCTTACCTGCATAGCCTTAGTGTATCAGCCTTGAGTGTGATTGAGAAGCAATTTATCATTTTCTCATTCTAGGAGTGAGGCTTAGTTTTTTTCTTTAATACAAAACTAAGTCTGTGAGTAGATATTTTTAGTTGCAACGTTAGTAGAAAGGCTCATTTAGCAGAGACTCAGACCCATACATTCCTGTTTTTCTTAGTTCACCATGTGAACTTGACAAATATAAGTATCTTCCATGCATTCATTTTTTTATTTGACCGTCTACTTTCCAGTGGAGGGCACAGAGATTAATACCATTATACGAAGTCACAGGAGTCAAGCAAATAATCCTGAAGTGCAAGGTGATTTATGCGACTTCTATAACATTGTGTTTTCTACAGATTGTGAGCACCTTATTCGAAGGATGTTGGTCCTAGATCCGTCCAAACGACTAACCATAGCTCAAATCAAGGAGCATAAGTGGATGCTTATAGAAGTTCCTGTACAGAGACCTATTCTCTATCCACAAGAACAAGAAAACGAGCCATCTATTGGGGAGTTTAATGAACAGGTCCTGCGATTGATGCACAGCCTCGGAATAGATCAACAGAAAACTGTTGAGGTAAAGTGACGAGAGATTTGACTAAATATATGTTAGGATTCCTCTGCAGTTAGTAACTTGAAATTTCATTCTCACACCTGTCATCCTGGTCTTTTAGCACATCCATCTCTGGCACCTAGGCCTACTGTTCAGTGTTCCCTGACAGTTACATCAGACTCTATTTATATTTGCTTTTATTCAACATCTAAATTCCTTCCTTTGCCTCATCTGCCAAAAAGTTCAAGAGGTTTTATAGAAGATGCAGGAAAATTGAAGATGGAAGCTTAAAAAGAACAAGATAGAAAGTTTATTTCTAGACGAAGCATTAAGTTTCATATCAGCACTATACTAGCTTGTGTAGAATGTAAATATGCAGATATGGAACAAGGCTGAAGGTCACGCAGGAAACAAGGAAAGGCACTGGGTTTAAGAAAGCCAGTGGGATTTAATTGTGAACTAGAGAAACTAAGAAGGCAGAAAAACAGGTGGGGTCCTGATTTGGAAATATTAGGGATAATAGAACTAAAAAGGTCGTGAACCTGGAAAATTCCTCTTGGCTTTTTTTCCTGTCCTCTAGTGGTTAGCATAATATAGAATATACATGTTTTTAATACCTCCACAATAGTGAAAACACAACAACAACAACAAAAAACAGTGCTTTTAAGGAAGAAGCGAAACAAGAAAGAATATCAAATGCCCCCATGTTTGCTGTGAAAGACCAAGGATCCAAACTACTGCCTCCTCCCCTGTCATAGCTGTATGTAAAATAAACTGGCTTTCCTGCCTGGTTCATTGTGTACCTAGTGATGTTTTTCTGTACTTATCCATGAAGTAGATCGAGAATGGCAGCTGTGAGCGTGGTTCTGCTGGCCTGTGAGTTTTGCTGAGAATGCTCCACGTTCATTTATGGGTACTCTGCCCAGCACCCATGCAGGCTGTCAGGTACAATTAGAAGCCAGAGGAGCAGTTGCTTCTCTGTTGCACTAGCATCCTGGAAAACTGGCAGGCTAAAGATGTGAAAATTTGGGAAGCAACTTTATTTTCAAGGCTTCAAAAGGGTGGGACTGCAAAAACAAGAGGAAAAAATTACCTAAGAATGGAGACACAGTGTCTCTCCATCTAGTATCCAGATGTGATTCTCCAGCCCAAAATAATCACCAGAAAGTTCCCAAAGGCTTTAATCATTCACTTCATGGTTTTCAGTGATTTGGACTTGGGTTGAAGCAGTGCAATTAGAGCTTCTGGGCTCGGGGTGCTAACTGCCCTTCTACCGTAGTTACAGCTATGAGATGGAACCGTGTGACAGCAGTGAGAATGCCTACATAAAACAGTGATGGCATTTTCTCTTAGTGCAGAAAAATAAATAGATCTTGATAATGTAAAAGGTCCAGTCAAGTAATTTTAAAGCATCAACCTTTATTTAACTAATACTAAAGACTTGAAATTGTCTGCCTTCGGGTCTAGATTTCATTCTGAGGCATACTTTGTTATTTTACTTTTAAGAACACCCACTTTTGCTTTAGAAAGGTACAGATCATTGGATTGGTTTTTATGGTACTCTACTTTCAACCAACAGTTGTTTTCTCTTTCAGTCTTTGCAGAACAAGAGCTATAACCACTTTGCTGCCATTTATTTCTTGTTGGTGGAGCGCCTGAAATCACATAGAAGCAGTTTTCCTGTGGAGCAGAGACTAGATGGCCGACAGCGTCGGCCTAGCACCATTGCTGAACAAACAGTTGCCAAGGTAACGCCCCATTAGCCAATAGTCTTATCTGTGCATGTGCCTATTCGCATGTTTGACACATTTTTTATCTTGTAGTACAAAGGTTAGGATTTCATCTTCTACACTCTGTTTTTCTAGAAAGTTTCTCCCTCAATCATTCACTGAATTCTCAAATGTTTTGGCGCACCTTTCTGTTTGTAAGGATTAACTTTATTTCAAACAGTTTTTTTCATAAAGAGATGTTTTGTGTTTTAATCCCTTGCTTCTGTTGAGAATTAGTGTAACTAACCTATACATTCAGTTTCATGTACACATTTTTATTGTGGATTTACCATGTGTAGACCTCTATTCTTAGGTACTCTAGGAGTTAGGATGTGTAGAGTACACTCCTTGCCCTCAGAGTCATTACACTGTGGAAGCAAAATAAGAATAGACTACAAATAATCATAATTCAAAGAAGGGAAAGATTAGTGCTGTTAAAGAACTGAGGACAAGGATGAGAGAGTCACATCTGAATGGGAACGAAATCATGAGAGAGGTGGCAGTTAGGACAGATCTTCACAGATGTGTGGAACAGTGGCAGGGAGAGGCAGTACTTGAAGGCATTTTAGGTAGACAGAAACAGCGGAAGATGAGCAGAAGTATTTATGTTGGCAATTGTAGGACTTGTTCCAATAAATACACTTGAAGTCTAAGGAAATAAGGAGTTGGAGTGATAAGTTGAAGCCACATTGTAAAGAGGTCCACACGCCATGGTAAAGCGTTTACTTACAATTCAGGAAGAAGTAAGGCACTATGAAAGTAGTTAAGCGGAAGAGTGGTAGAATATCGTTATTATTTACAATCATTAATCTGAGAGCATTGGGAATGATGGGCAGGACAGAGAAGAGAAGAAATTTGGAGAGATCGATTAGGAGATTATTATAGTATTTGAGATAAGAAATACTGAAGATCTAAATTAATGTGGCACTGGTAGAAACAGATGGAAGAGGCAAGTAAAAGAACCTCAGAGATATATCTTGTATAAACCTAGTGATGGTTTGGAGAAGTAGCTCTTATGGTGGTTAAAATTTCTAAAGTCTTTCTGTGCCTCAGTTTCCTGTGTGTAAATAGATAAGATTATAAGAATGTTGTGCCAGTAAAATTAGTTAATATTTTTGGAATACATACAACAGTGTCTATTACATAGTAAGTGAGTGCTATGTAAGTATTTGTATATAAGTAAATGTTGGGGGATTAGAGGACAAAAGTGAGTTAGGGATAATTCTGTCTTGAGCTAGGCCTGAGAGAACAGTGGTGGCATTAACTTAGTTGCCAAGAGGGGATATGGACATAGATCCCAGGAGAGATGCTGGAGTAGAGAGGTCTGGGGAATCATCTGTATAGAGGTTGAGGAGAAGAGTGGCTTGTTCCAGTGCTCTATTAGGATTTTTGTCCTCTTCTATGAGTGACTCTATTCAAAGTGAAATTAAGAGTAGAATTTTCATATTGAATTTCTTTGGCAGGTTTACAAAATTTGCAAGATTATAAGAAATTCTGGCATTTTTTTATAGTGTGTACAAAGAAAAAAACCAAGGAAATTAAAAATCTTGATTTTCATAGGCAAATTGTATTTTTGTTTATATGCTTTATATAGAAAATGTGAGTACCAAAACAAATGTGAGTTAAATAATGTTATCAATGTTATTCTAGATATTTGAGTTAGACTTTCTCACATGTAGAAACCTTCAAAGTTTAATTAGGTATTGCTTACAAGACAGAGGGGAAATGAGAGTTCATGAGCTGGGATGGTGTCCCTTCCTTCTTGCAAGTGCAGCCAGGCAAAAGGACAGGAGGCAGAGACTCCCAGTGCAGTAGCAGGCTTTCCTTGCCAAGTGTCTTTTTTTTTTTTTTATTGGTTGTTCAAAACATTACAAAGCTCTTGACATATCATATTTCATACATTAGAATCAAGTTGGTTATGAACTCCCAATTTTACCCCAAATACAGATTGCAGAATCACATCGGTTACACATCCACATTTTTACATAATGCCATATTAGTAACTGTTGTATTCTGCTACCTTTCCTATCCTCTACTATCCCCCCCTCCCCTCCCATCTTCTCTCTCTACCCCATCTACTGTAATTCATTTCTCTCCTTGTTTATTTTCCCATTCCCCTCACAACCTCTTATATGTAATTTTGTATAACAATGAGGGTCTCCCTCCATTACCATGCAATTTCCCTTTTCTCTCCCTTTCCCTCCCACCGCCAAGTATCTTTATTCTTAAACGTGCAAGTGAGTGAGTGGTAAAGGGTTACATAAACAACTGCTCCTGAGCATGTGCATATGTTATTTGATATCTTTTCCTATCTAGACTTTAAGCAAATTCCCCTGGATATCTCAAATTTTATTTAATTTGGCTTGGAGTTGAGATGTATAAGATGGCTTCTTACGTCTGCTAACTTTGTTTCCTTACCAAGCCTCCCATGAGTTCTTGCACTTTGTGCATTGACCCATGTCATCATAGAAACCTACTTACTGTAATTTAAAATACATGCAATCCAAATGGAAGTCTTCAGTGTTCATCTACAAACTTGTCTTAAAGGCTGCTGGATGCTAATCAGGAGGCAGCGCTGCTGAGGAAAACACTTCCTTCCCTCGGAGGGGCACGTTCTACTTTTTAGTACAGATTTCTCTGGTTTTATGGATACTAAATATGCTCAAAATTTCAGTAGAGCCTTCTTGTTTTAATTCCTTTATGTTCTAATTTTTTTTTTAAAGAGCCCCTCCTGTCTGGCATTTTGTTATGGCAGCCTGGGCACACTAATACTATGCTGTGTTCTACAGTGGGCAACTCCTAATCCGTAATTCAATAGCTGAGATGCCCATTGCATTCGTGTTTGCTTACAATTGATACAAACCATGGAGTGGCAAAATTGTTAAAAACCAGTGGTCAGAGTTCATAAGATAAAAAAAGCAAGACATTTTTCTCAGTAGTTATCCAAAGTAAGTCAAATGCAACATTTCCAGCATATTGTACAGCAAATAAAAAGTACTTTAAATCTATCTAAGAAGAAATCTCACTGTATTCTAAATAATAATAATAACAGGTACTTTATCACCAAACTATAAACTCCTTAAAGTCAGGCACAGTTTTTTAGGTACCTCTAAGGCCACAGATTGCTATATTGATAATAGCAATAAGAAATCAAGGAAACAGCTGGCATGGTGGTGCACGCTTGTAATCTTAACAACTTGGGAGGCTGAGATAGGAGGATCACAAGTTCAGATCCAGCCTCAGCAACTTAGCAAGGCCCTGAGCAACTTAGCAAGACCCTGTCTCAAAATCTTAAAAAAGGGAGGGGATGCTAGGGATGTGGCTCAGTGGTTAAGTCCCTCTGGGTTCAGTCCCCAGTACCAAAGAAAATAAATTGAGGAAACAACATTATCCTATACAAAGACCACATGAACTGTAAAATCCTGCAGAATTTTAGTTCCATGCAGAAGGTCTGCATGATTTTGAGGTGACTTTGCTTAAGAATTTCTGAGTTCCTCTATTCTTAAATATAGAATGGAAATGGCAATACCTACTTAATAAGATTGCTACTGAGTAAAAATTAGTTAACCTGAACCAGCAGTTGAGTTCAGCAAATAGAGCACTTATCTGTCAGGCACTGTCCTCACCAATGTGGGCATTGTATTAATTCGTTCGGGCTACCATAACAAAATGCCAGACTGAAGGGTTCAAACAGAAAAGTCATTTCCTCACAGTTCCTGAAGCCATCAGCATCTGGTGCAGGCTAACTCCCGTGGGTAGATGGCTGCCTTCTTACTCTTTTTTCATGTGCCTCTCCATCTGTCAATTGAGGAGAGAGAGTTCTGGTGGTCTCTTCCTTTTATAAGAACACCAGACCTCTTGGATCAAGATCTCATGTTTATGACTTAATCTAACTTTAACTTACCTCCTTAAAAGCCTTATCTCCAAATTAGTTCTTATAAGAGGAAGAGACAACCAGAACTCTCTCTTGCTAAGTTGCTGAGTCTGGCCTTGAACTTTCAGTCCTCTTGCCTCATCCTCTCAAGTCACTGGAATTATAGGCATGCACCACCATGCCCTGCAGAACCCAGGGTTTTGTACATGCTACCACTAGCACGCTACCACTAGCCACACCCCAGCCCAGACAGACTACCTTAGACCCCTTAGCAATTGCAAGACTTCTAAAAAGCAGATGTATGATACCTACTATCCTATTTCCTGGGAAGTAAGTATCACAACAAAATGTTATTCCTCCATCCTTTCCAAGTTCATGGGTCCATTATAGTCCAGGTTAGGTGCAAAAGTTTTCAAGGAAAATGTACAATCCTTGGTCTAGCACAGCAGCCCTGCCATTTAAGGAATTGTAGCTGATGAAAGTCAGGACTGAGAAGGAGCAGCACATTGTAGTTTTTGTGTGGCCATCTCATTTCCATTGTAGTGTCCCAGGTAATAGTTTCCCTACTTTCATATAAAAGGAACAGAATAATACATTTGGGAAATAGAAATCAAAATTCAGTTCTATCCTTTGATTGAAAATACAACAATGAGGGTTGGAAGACTGTAACAAATTAGAAAGTTTAAATTTCACATTGTGACATTGACTAGAGAAATTAAATGACTAATACTTGAAAAGAAAAAAAAGTTGTTTAACATCAAATGTGGCACAGGTGTAAGCCTGAAGAATGATGCAAAAGAAAAGAAATTTCTTTATCATACGCAGAATGGTATGCAGTAATCTTTTTCCTGTTCTTACCATTCATATAATTCTGAGACTTTGCTGTTGTTCTTCTATTCTTCTTTTTAAATATTTTTTAGTTGTTGATAGACCTTTATTTTATTTATTTATATGTGGTGCTGAGAATCGAACCCAGCGCCTCACAAATGCCAGGCAAGTGCTCTACCACTAAGCCACCGGCCCAGCCCTGTTCCTCTATTCTTTATCTCATGTGGTATATCTGGAGATAGCAATATTTGGATCTGCCATATATAAAATATATCCTATGTATATTCAAAATATGTTGAAATATAAAGTATGGTAGTAACATATACTCCCATTCTTGAACAGCTGTCAAACTGAAAATTCTAACTGGGAACCATTAAATAGAATCTGAGAACAAAACTACATTCATCTTACAGTGTAAATCCTATATTTTTGTGATGATTTTAGGACTTTAAAAAAGGAAAAGAGCGGGGCTGGGAATGTGGCTCAAATGGTAATGTGCTTGCCTGGCATGCGCGCGGCACTGGGTTCAATCCTTAGCACCACATACAAATAAAGATGTTGTGTCCGCCGAAAACTAAAAATAAATACTTAAAAAAAAATTCTCTCTCTCTCTCTCTCCCCCCCCCTTTAAAAAAAAAGAAGAAAAAGAAGAGGAATTAACCTTACTGAATTAGGACTTTATATGTTACCTTTTAGAATCCTAACTTCACTGTGAAATAGGATTTATGCCCTTTTTTACAGGTGAAGAAAATAAGATTCAAAGAAATTAGGTAACCTGATTAAGTTCACACAATGAGCCAATGATGGAGCCAAGAATCAAGCCCACTTCCTGAGAGAGAACTAGAACCTAATACCATTTTGTGCCTTTTGTTTATTTGAATCTAAAACTCACCATCCTATATCCCTTGACGTGACTATAGCAAGAAGAATATAGGCCAGTCCTCTGCCTGTCATAGTCTGGCGTGATGACTGTTCCCTCAGATGTTTTGCAGTGTCTCTTATGTTCAAAACATATCTAATAAATTATTCTGCTAGTTTTGAAGGGATCAGGATAAAAGGATCATCCAGCAGCTTCATCTTTAAAATCAACCCTTGCCAGTTGTCTTAGGAAGATTCTCTTTTAAGAATTGTTTGTGATGCTTCTTAAAGTAGTTCACAAAGGAGACAGAAGAATGGACTTAAAGTCATCCAGAGTTTCCTATAGTAGGTTGACTTCAAGGTCATAACTTGCACTGCAATGAGCATATCTCCTTCTACTGGGCCAGCAGGCTATGTGCGTCCTTGAAGGAAGGACGACAGTCCTGTCATATCCAAGGAACTGCTGCTTTTCTTTTCTTGCTTGTCCCACACACCCGCATGAAGAAATAAGTATCATCCCACCCCACCAAGAGACAGAGACAGAACTCACTTCAGTGCCCCTTGCATTATAGTTGGTTGTAGGGTGTATGTATCTATCCCTGGTTCAGAGTACAGAATCATACCAACAGGGACTTTCCTATTCCCCCTTATACTTCTCCAGGTAATATATTTAAGGAAGAAGGCAATATATGTTTTCTGAGTTGAAACAGAGGACATTCTTTTTGGGGGGGAGGGGATGGTACTGGGGATTGAACTTAGGGGCACTGGACCACTGAGCCACATCCCCACTCCCTAGCACTATTTTGCATTTTATTTAGAGACAGGGTCTCTCTGAGTTGCTTAGTGCCTCACCGTTGCTGAGGCTGGCTTTGAACTCGTGATCCCAAGGATATTCTTTGACTCCTCAGAGACAAGCTTTCTTGTCATCTGTGTGAAACTTAGGCTTCTCAATATGGAACAGGAATAAAATTCTATACAAACCTTTTCAGAATATCTGATTGATTCAAGTTAATACCCTATATATGAATGTATATTTTCTATACATATTTCATCAGATCTTTTCCAGAGGAGGGGAGTTCTAATAAATAACTTGTTTATACTTTAATTGTCCCAGGAATAATTATTTTATTCTAAGAACTCGATGTATTTACAGAGAAAGTATTAATGTTCCTCTGCTTTCTGTTCTTGCTATATTTGCAGGCACAAACTGTGGGACTCCCAGTGACCATGCATTCCCCAAACGTGAGGCTGATGCGATCTGCCCTCCTCCCACAGACATCCAACGTGGAGGCCTTTTCATTTCCAGCTTCCGGCTGTCAGGCGGAAGCTGCATTTATGGAAGAAGAGTGTGTCGACACTCCAAAGGTACAGATGGATGTGTTTGAGAGACTCAGAGCTTGCCATATGGCTGTAGACTTGTTTGATCCTGCAGTGCTGTGCTGTGGCTTAGCTGAACTCTCATTTTGTCAAGTCAGTCAGGAATGTTGTTTTTGTGGAGAAAACCTAAGAAATGTCCAAAGCTAAATTCTCATCAGTGTTTTATCATTACAGCTGTTTTGTAACATAACTCATCAGATCTCTCCTCCCCCAGAAGCCCCTTTTTTTCCTCCTTCTTTCTTCAAGTTTCTAAATTCCTCACAAGTGTTTAGCTTTATTTGTTTTTTAACAAATTGTAATTCTGAAAACAAAAAGTTAACTTGCTATGCTGAATTGGGCTTTGTTTTTGTCAGTATTGCTTCTCTTCTGCTGAGAATACTATAGATACAAAATGATGGGCTTTCTGGTCAGCTAAACCTCTGTTTTTGGTCTAGTTTGGACATGCTTGAAGGAGTCAAGTTTACATTTGGCAAACTATAAAGTTGGCTTTTAGGATATGGAAGATGACAGCTTCTCTCAAGCAATGGACATTTATTTAACTTCTAATATGAGTTGTATATACTTAGCATCAAGAGATATACAAAGGATCATATTAATGAGTAGCAGAGTGTCACAAAAGAATGTAGACCTTAGAGTATATTCAGACTGTGTTCTTTACCAGGTTGTGTGAACTCTTTGAACCTCAGTTTTCTCTTGTGTAAAATGAGAATACCGAATTTATGAGACTATTATGAGGATTGAGATAGTGTTTGTAAGAAGTGGGGAAGATTTTACATACTCGGTAAATATTGGTTTTCTGTCTTTTTGGCCTCTTCAGGTAATTAAAAAAAAAATGAGTCAGACATGAACTCTGCCTCATGTTGCTAGACTATGGTCTAACAGAAGAAACCTTATACACAACAAAAGACAATGTGCCAGCCAGGCATGGTGGCACACGCATGTAATCCCAGCAACTTGGGAGACTGAGAGGAGCATCGCAAGTTCAAGGCCAGATTCCACAATTTAACAAGACCCTGTCTCAAAAATAAAAAGCAAAAATAAGGATGGGGATGTAGCTCAATGGTAGATGACCCTGAGTTCAATCTCTGATACCAAAAAAAAAAAAAAAAGCAATGTGCCAAGTGTTGAATAAATTGATAAAAGAGAATATAATTGGCCCTGTAAGGAGATATAAATCAAAGTGAAACTAGAAGGTGGCAAGGAGAGTTGCTTTTAGTGTTTGATCAGGAGAGTCTTTGGGTTAAGTGTCAAAGCAGGTAATTGAGAAGTGGATAGAATCAAAGTGGGTGGAAAATAGGGTGGGATGTCTTCAATGGAGACAAAAGCCTGAACAAAAACAAACAAACTTAAGGAATTTCAAGGCTCATCTAAATCAGAGCATTGTTCAGTTTATCTGAGGGAAAAAGTATATGGAGAGAAGTTGTGTGAAATAAAAATGGATAGGTTAGCTTAGAATGGCAAGCCAGGCAATTAATACTTGCTCTGTTGGTGGGTGCTTTCAACATGGGTGTGGGGTTCAGTATCAAATGAAACAACTGAAGAGTTAAGGTAACGAGAGACAATTGAAGATTTTGAGCAAGGAAGCACTATATGTATTCTGCGCTTCAGAAAATTAGGCTGGCTGGCTCCCTAGCATGCAGAACACAGGGGAGACTGGTGACGGAGAATGGGAAGTTAGAGCACATGTCTCCAAAGGAGATGATGTGGGTCTGAACTGGGAGAGGGGTTATGGGACAGAAGAGGAGGGATGGTTGCATTGAGACTGAAGATAAAATTGATAGGATGTCAGGGTTAAGAGAAAAGCCTTAACAAGATTTTGATTATTGGGAGTATAAGTGCCTTCTCAGAAATCAGGAACTCTGAAGATCCAGTTGGTTGGTTCAGAAGTTAAATAATCAGTTTAGCTAGAGCACAGCCGAGAAGACAGCTCAAGCCCAGGCTTCCCCAGCAGGTGTTAAGTCCAGTTGATGAACAGGACCTGTTGGTGTCACAGCCCCTTAGGATTCCACTTCCTTTGAACAGTCTGTTTTCTCTGCCTGCATTTGTATGTTAAATAACCTTATAAATTACTGGTACATTCTTGCTCAGAAATTCAGACATAAATTAGAGTAATGTAATTCATTTACTTTAAAGATATAATTCTCTCAAAAAAATTAAAATGCAGTCTGCTAAAGTCTTGTCTGTGAGGGCACCAGGCCCAAAACACAGATTGGGCACTGTCTGCTATATTATATAGGGCAAGCTATTTTTAAAGCTTGTGATTGTTACCGTAACTAGGAAACAGACAGGAAATGAATGATTTTGTGAAAGATATAGACAGTAGCTAGATGGTGTATTTGCATTTGCAGGAAGAGCAGTGCCACGCTGGAACTGGCCACCCACACTGGCATTGCCACTGTGACACTCAGCCAGGCCATAAACATCCGCTGGTCTTACTGCAGATTGTTCCTTCTCCTGGTTTGCAGTAAAATGTTTGTTCTTCTTCCCTCCCTACTGCCTTTTTCTTTAGGGCCCATAAATAAATGCACATACACAAAACTCCCAGATAGAAATACAATTCCTTTTATTCATTTTCCTTCATTTATACTTACTGTAATGCCCATTTTGTTTTCTGAAAGATGCTTCATAGCTACACATATTGCTCATTTCATTTCTGCTGTCAATCAGGGATAAGTGTTGTGCTTTTCCAAGAGAGCACACCTCTCCTTCCCTCCTGGATATCTTCAGTGCTTAAAACTGTCAGTGAAATCCCTTAAGGAGTCTGAATGGACACTTTGGTTTGGGGTTCCTGCAAAAACCAGCACCTTTCTGAGTTATCCATTCTGGGTAAAAAAAAAAAAAACAGTAACTGAGACCCACAGGTGACACAGGGACCATGTGGAATGGCAGGTGCATAAACCCTACAGAGCACATATATCCTCACTTGAGTGTTTCTTTGTAAATAATGGATATTTTTTCTACACATTCACAAATAGGCCAGTCATTTTTAGCTTTTTATTAGACTATAGTAAAAGGAATTTCTTAGTTAGCATCTTTGTAGCTGGATGACAGAAGAATTATAAGAGTAAACCATGAAAATGCAACTATGATAGAGGTATTTCATGTCCGTTTACATTTGATAATTTTTTGAAGCTGAGCATCAAGGCACATGCCTGTATTCCCATTGACTTGGGGAGGCTGAGGCAGGAAGATCACAAGTTTAAGGCCAACCTTAGCAGCTTAGACCTTGCCTCAAAATTTAAAAAAAAGGATTGGAGACATAGCTCTGTGGTAAACACCCTGGGTTCATTCCCCAGTACCAAAAAAAAAAAAAAGTAATAATTATGATTTTTTATTATATAAGTAGTATACATAAGAGAAGCTCTGAGGGACTGGGGTTGTGGCTCAAGTGGTAAAGTACTCACCCAGCACGTGTGAGGCACTGGGTTCGATCCTCAGCACCACATAAAAATAAAGATTTGTATCCACTTAAAACTAAAAAATAAGTATATAAAAAAAAGAGAAGCTCTAAAAAGGAAATATTTATCAAACTCTCAGTAGATGCTAACTCTAAGGCTTTGGAGAAGAAATTCCAATTTTACTTCTGAAATTAAATTTTAATAACAAATATTAATTTAAAATCAAAAATAAAACCAGTCAGAATAATGCCTAAAATTCAGAAGGGGATAAAGGAAAAATCAATTTATCCATAATATCACCATCCAAAAATAAGCATATTGCCTGATGTGGTGGCTCACACCAGTAATTCCAGCAACCCAGGAGGCTGAGGCAGAAGGATCACAACTTCAAGGCCAGCCTCAGCAATTTGGCAAGACCCTGGGCAACTTAGTGAGACTGTATCTCAAAACAAAAAAAAATAAAAGGATTGGGGATGTGGCTCAATGGTAAAGCATCCTGGGTTCAATCCCCAGTACCTAACTAAATAAATAAATTAATTGGAAAAAATAAGCATATTTTGATGTGCTTTCTGTAGGTGGGTAGGGGTAGTATGGGTCAGTAGGTAGAAGGACTTTTAAAACAAAGTTATATTCTATTATATATAATTTTGTATCTTTCTTTACATTACAGTATAGCATGAACATTTATCCCACATCATGAAATGTTCTTTTAAAGCATGAGTTTTAACAACTGCCTAATACATTGTATTAGGCATCACTTTATTTAATGGCTCTCCTTTGCTTTTTTTCATCCTTATTTATGCTTAAGGTAAATGTTCATATCTAATTCCAATGGTTATTCCTTTAGGATAGATTTTTAGAAATGATGTTACTCAGTTTTTTTTTTTTTGTTTTGTTTTTTGTTTTTGTTTTTGTTTTGTTTTGTTTTTTTGCTTTTTCACCTTGTTAGTTAATTTGCCTCAAAATAGCAAAAACACTTGTTTTAAAAGTGTTAAATAAGTGCAAAAATTGAGTTAGAAGTTAAGCAATTCTAACCATTGAGTGGTGGAGCTGAGATTTGAGCCTATAGCACTTCCTCAATAAGTAGCAGACTTACCAGGCACTTAGGATAAAATTATTTAAGACACATTCCCAGCCTCCAAACTCACCAAACTGCTTTGGTGTACTAAATCAGTCTGCTCACCTGCCATAATGAAATACCACAGTGGCTTAAACAACAGGAGTTTCCTCACAGTTCTGGAGCCTGAGAAGTCTAAGATCTAAGTTCCAGCTAATTCAGTCTCTTATAAGCTTCCTTCTCCTAGTTTGCAGATGGTCACCTCATTGTCTTAAGACCTCTCATGTGCCCCAGGGGGAGTTAGGAGTAAGCCTGCCAGCTGTCCCTTCTTATAAAGACACTAATCCTTTGGGGGTCAGGGCCCTACTCCCTTAGAAACACTGTCTCCAAATACAGCCACGTTGGGGTTAGGGTCAACATAAGAATTTTGGAAGGATAGAACATTCAGTCCATAGCAGTCTTCCAGTCTCTTATGCTAGAATCTTGTACTTGATGTAGACTCTTGGGCTTTCTCAATTAGTTTTGGGGTCTCTGAGGACTTGATCCCCACATGTTTATCACGTATTACATAAAAGGTCTCTTGGAAGTGAAGTGACTTAAGCTTAAAGGAAAAACAAAATATATTAGAAAACTACATTTCACCCACATTGTATTTTAAGTTTCTCTAATTCACATCAGCCTAGATTGTTTCCTGTTCCTAAAGCAAAAGGTCTTATTTCCAGCAGCTTAGGTCACCTAGGCAGATCAACCCAGTAATTCAGTCATAAAACCCTGGAACTGGAAGTACTCACACCTGTTAACTGAACTGAGCCACCCCACAGGACATCAGTATATTGCCAGGTATGGTGGTGTACACCTGTAATCCCAGCAGCTCAGGAGACTGAGGCAAGGAAGATCACAAGTTTGAGGCCATCCTCAACAACTTAGCAAGTCCCTAAGCAACTGAGACCCTGCCTCAAAATAAAAAATAAAAGGACCGGGGGTGTAGCTTGGTGATAAAATACTTCTGGGTTCAATCCCTTAAAAAAAAAAAAAGTTAGTTTATTATTTTCCAGCTGCCCCAGGATGAAAAGTCAGGTCTGTGAAAAAAATCAGATCCTTGTTTTCTAGTGGTATGAGGATGAAATTTGTTTCAGTAAACATTTCTTAATCAAAAACATAATTCATCTAGTTTGGATGGGATAAATTTATAGGGTAACAATTTAAGTAAAATTGTAAATTCAGGGAGACTGCAGGGCTTTTTGAGTGATTCAAGAAAAGGTGACTTTCTTCCATTAAGGAAAAATAAAGAATATAGATGACTTATCCTGCAGGAGCCACCTGACAGAGGCTGTATGAAAACGCTCAGTATATAATTACTTAATAACATCCTTTTCTCCATTGCTTTATTCATTTCTAAATCATCCTCGATTAGTCTTAGAAAATTGTATTAGTAGATAGTTAAGGAGCCTGGAAGTGTGAATGTAAGTTCTCAACCATTCTTTCCTGCAAGAAAACTGTTAAATGTCATCGAAAAGGAAAACAAACCTGAGGAAGGTCCAAGGAAAGAATGAGAGCTGCTAGCCAGATTGCAGATTTTTTTTCCCTGGTGCCATGGGGAAGTGACCACTTATCACTTTACAACACTGTAATGCCTTAGTCACCTTACCCAGGCAATGGCTCTAGCCCCAGAACAATTTTTATGGAATAAGCATCACCTCCCCCAAGCAAACAAAGATCTGAGTCACCTAACTCCCCCTCTCCAAATAGAAGGCCATGAAATATCTTCACACAGTTGCCATGAGAGGGAATTTCCTGTGTCTGGCACAGGGATGTCCACATCACCTCTCACATACATGAGCTGCTCCTGCTTCCAGAGGAAACAACAGTTCTAGTCAGTATGTTCCAGGTGAAAGTCGTACTTAGAACTGAGCATCTGTGCTGGCTGTTCCTGAACAGCTATTCATAGGAGAAAATGGATTGATTTCCACAGGGGAATAGTTAAGGTAATGAGGTAAATAATTGCCTCCTCTTTGGGGCTTTTACCAGCCAGAAGAGCTCAAAACCACAACTCCCCTTTGTGTGCCTTTCTGCCTGCCTAATGGTGGTTTGCTTGGCAACTGCCAGGAAGGCAGTGTGCTCACTCAGGAGCTGTGTTGAGCCCATCCCTGTGGGTAGGAGCCATAGATAGTGTGTCACTGCCAGAGAAGAGAGAATTTCATGCACTGGGGCTTATTAACCTCTGCAGGAATTTTGGGCCTGTGAGTCATTTGTTATTCTATAATGGAAGGCTTTGGCTGTTTGCCATTTAATTTTTTTTTCAATCCTTTTTGTGGTATCACTCTGTCTTTAACAAAGAATTCTTACTTTCCATTCTTGAGGCACATAGAACCAACTACAAACTGAATCAAATGGGCAGGTACTTAAATTATGAACATAGAAGTATATCTAGAGCCTTCCAGTATGTCTCGTGGTTGAAAATTAGAAGAATGTTGATACTGCACTTCAGTTTATAAGCCATGTACTTAAAAAACAAAATCTCATCTTCCCCCTCTTCATTTCTCTTATTAAAAAAAAATAAATAACTGGTAGGCCTCAAGCTAATATACCCCCTGTTCATCTGGAAACCACTAACAATATTGTTTATTGTAATAATGATGACTCAGAGGAACCTGGGTGGCAGTGCCACTTTGGGTCATAAGGGTCTCTTGTCTCCAAGCACTGCAGTTGACTTGCCTTAACTTCTGTATGTTGTCATTAGAAAAAAAATGTGAATACTTTTAATATTTTACTTAATTTCTAGTTTGCCATAAGTCGTGGCATTTTTTTGCTTTGTGGATTTTTCTGATGTCTCGGCAGAGCAGCAGCTAACAGTTTCCTGTCACACCTTTGACATTTAGGTAAATGGCTGTCTGCTTGACCCTGTGCCTCCTATCCTGATGAGGAAAGGATGCCAGTCACTGCCCAGCAACATGATGGAGACCTCCATTGACGAAGGGTTGGAGACAGAAGGAGAGACTGAGGAGGACCCCAGTCATGCCTTTGAAGCTTTTCAGTCCACGCGCAGTGGGCAGAGACGGCACACTCTGTCAGAAGTGACCAACCAACTGGTCGTGATGCCTGGGGCAGGTATGTTATCAGAGAAGCATCAGGTCAAGTCTTCATGGCACCAGCTCATACTCAAGTCACCACAAAGTAATGAAACCAACCAGTCCCTGGAATATAATCTGTGCTTACTCCTTTGTGGAGCAGTTGCAGCAGGTTGTAGGATTAGGCCTGCTCAGCAGCTGACAAAGATTAAAATGGAATGTTTGTGAGTTGATTCCCCTTACTCGTAGGGGTGCTTCATCGGAGACAGGCTCTTTGGGAGCAACCACTCTTTGGAAGTGACAACCCCTCCCTTGACAGTGTAGATTCTGAGTATGATACGGGATCTGCTCAGAGAGACCTAAACTTTCTTAGGACAACCCTTCCCTTAAGGACATCATGTTAGCCAATCAACCCTCACCCTGCATGACATCTCCTTTCATAAGGTGCAGCTTCTGGAGTGTTTTCCCCCACTAAATTTGAAGATGGTTAAATTGACCTATGAAAGGGTTCTGAAAATATGGGGTTTTCTTGTTTTGTTTTGTTTTTCTTGTTTTGTTTTGAGGGGGTGTTGGGTTGGTTGGTTGGTTTTTTGTTTGTTTGTTTGTTTTTTGCAGTGTTAGAGATTGAACCCCAGAGCCTTACACATGCTAAACAATCACTCTACTACCAAGCTGTATCTCCCCACCCCTGAAAAGGTGTTGCTTGTTTTGGGTTTTCATTTTTTCGTTTGAGACAGGGTCTCACTGTGTTGATCAGGCTGTTCTGAAATTCCTGGGCTCAAGCAATCCTTCTGCCTCAGTCTCCCAAGAAACTGGGACTGCAGGCTTCTGCCACTTGAAAAGATGTTTTGATTGGATAGTGAGAACATTGCTGATGTCAAGACTAAAGCTTATGGCCATGTTGTCTCAGGACAGCAATGATGACACTGAAGATGTTTCATTGTTTGATGCAGAAGAAGAGACAACTAATAGACCAAGAAAATCCAAAATGCGACATCCAGTGGCATCATTTTTCCATTTGTTCTTCCGAGTCGGTGCCATTATAGTCTATCTTCTCTGTGAATTGCTCAGCAGCAGCTTTATTGCCTGTATGGTGATAATTATCTTGTTGTTGTCATGTGACTTTTGGGCAGTGAAGAATGTCACAGGTAGACTGATGGTAGGCCTTCGGTGGTGGAATCATATTGATGAGGATGGAAAGAGTCATTGGGTGTTTGAGTCCAGGAAGGCCTCTCCTCAGAAGAATAAAACTGTTTCAGAAGCTGAATCAAGAATCTTTTGGTTAGGACTAATTGCCTGTCCAATACTGTGGGTGATATGTGCCTTTAGTGCTCTCTTCTCCTTCAGAGTAAAATGGTTGGCAGTGGTTATCATGGGTGTGGTACTACAGGGTGCCAACCTGTATGGTTACATCAGGTGCAAAGTGGGCAGCCAGAAGAATTTAACCAGCATGGCTACCTCGTATCTCGGAAAGCAGTTTTTAAAATAAAACACCAGAAATGAACAGACTTCTTGAATAGAGAGAAAATTATGTTTTCTGTGATATTGAGGAATGGCTGAAGAGATTCTTGATTATAAACTGTTTAGAGCTCAGTCCAGTTGCAAAGAGGAGCATTGGGTTTTTTTTGTTGTTTTGTTTTGTTTTGTTTTCACTTACAAAGTTACTATGAAAACTGTTTTCTTTTTTTAAACAAAGTTTTTATTTTTATTTTTTCTAGTAGTTGAGGCTGGGAAGTATGATATCATTAAGAACATTGTCAGAATTTATTTTATGGTGTACATATGTATGCATATAGTAAAGTATCCATATATCCCAAATTAATGTGTTAGTTTACATATGTTACAGAGATATTTGCATTTTGAGCCATAGAAAATAGAATGTTCTTAGTCAAAGGTATGTGTGTTTACATACTATTTCTGTAGGTTATTTTCAGAAATAAGTTGATTCCATGATTAAGAGTAAACACTTGGCTTGTGTATGAGTTAAAATTAGAAAAAAATTGTTAATTTTAAATATATACTTCATGTTGAAATTGCTTACCTTAGACATGCACAAGTGAAAACCAAATTCAGGCTGGTAGTGTTAACTAGTTTCTAAAATTTATTTTTTTACTTAAGGCCTAAATAATAAAAGGAATCTTTATAGTTTATGTTTAAGGGATACCCAAGGGATTGCTGCTGTTCTATTTATTTCGTGGAAAGGATAGTCAGATTTTATTTTGGAACTTCCTGGAAACTCTTCAGTGGTCTCTGGACTAATAAAATCCTTTAGTACTAAATTAATATTGTTCTTATGTCATAGTAAGAATAATAATTTAAATACTTGGCATAATAAATGCCTAAAGACATTATATGAATCTATTTTTCTTGCTATAATAGGGATATTGTAAACCATACATTTGTATTAATAATATTTCTTAAACAAGGCAATATATTTAACTGTAAACTAAACCAATCTACAAATTATTGTAGGCAGTTGTAAATTTTGTTGTAGGTACTAGAAACTTTGTTGGAGTCTTTTAATCGGCAGATTATGTTGTGAATGTATTTGTACATTGTTAAAATATTTTTAAAGATGTTTTGTTTTAGTTGAATAAATGTGTGTTGGAGTGATAGCTTGGAAGGTGCACAACTTTATATTTGTATAAAACTATTGTTTACAAAGCAAAAAAAAAGACTAAAGCTTATTATCCTTTTATTCTAAGTTCAAAATGCTATTGCTGTTCTATCTGTTCTGTTTTGTTTTTTCTCTTAAAGGTAAAATTTTCTCCATGAGTGACAACCCCTCCCTTGATAGTGTGGACTCTGAGTATGATATGGGGTCTGCTCAGAGAGACCTGAATTTTCTGGAGGACAACCCTTCCCTTAAGGACATCATGTTAGCCAATCAACCGTCACCCCGCATGACATCTCCTTTCATAAGCCTGAGGCCTACCAACCCAGCCATGCAGGCTCTGAGTTCCCAGAAACGAGAGGCCCACAACAGATCACCAGTGAGCTTCAGAGAGGGCCGCAGGGCATCTGATACCTCCCTCACCCAAGGTGAATGCTTCTTCTAGCTTTTCAAACTCTTACATTGTAGCAGTTGAGGGACATTTGTTGCTGTGTTAGTTGAACCTGTGATCACTGAAAGACCTTGTATTTTACTTAAACTGTTTGGTCTTTGTGCTTTCTTTCAGGAATTGTAGCATTTAGACAACATCTTCAGAATCTGGCTAGAACCAAAGGAATTCTGGAGTTGAACAAAGTGCAGTTGCTTTATGAACAGATGGGACCAGAGGCAGACCCTAATTTGACATCAGCTGCCCCTCAGCTCCAAGACCTCGACAGCAGTTGCCCTCAGGTGGGTAATCTAGGCCCTTCCCACCATGACTCTGAGTGAAGATGCATGGGTTTTAGTTAAAGGACTTCCAGTTCTAGACAAGGACATTCTTTTGGAAAGAGTATAGCCCGAAAGCTTTCCTTGCTTCTGTTGCTGATAGCTTAGACCAAGCCACACCACTGCCAGGTGTCAGCCCCAGATGGAGGCCTAGACATGCTCTAGCTAGGTTTGGTTCACAGGACAGATTGTATGTGGGTGACTCTTACAGCCCTTGAACTCCCTCACCCCCATGCATACACAAAAATGAAGAGTAATAAACATTACCCAAATATGAAGCTTTTTGCCACTATTTTTGATGTGAAATCACTTTATTAAGGCCAGGCACAGTGGTGCACGCCTGTAATCCCAGCAGCTCAGGAGGCTGAGGCAGGTGGATCGAAAGTTCAAAGTCAGCCTCAGCAACTTAGTGAGGCCCTAAGCAACTCAGAGATTCCCTGTCTTTAAATAAAACACATAAAAGGGCTGATAATGTGGCTCAGTAGTTGAGTGCCCCCGAGTTCAATCCCCAGTACCAAAATTAAAAAAAAAAAACAGAAAATCAGTTTATTAAATATAACAAGTGGACCATTCATACTAAAAATACAATAAATACTGTTTTTTTATACTGTATGCTTTATTTTGAGCCTCTTTTTAGTACACTAAGAATCTTTGTAGGTGATGATGGCCTCCTGATGACACCAGGAGCTTTTGCTGTGATCCTGATTAGGTAGTTGTTGACAACAGTTAATACATGTATGAGTTCTCTGCAAAGTAATTAACTTCAACCTACTAATTAGGGAAAAGATTGGAGTGTTATATCAGAGAGTTGAGATTCCTCTTGGTCATTTGAAAAGGTACTTAAACTAAAAATTAAAACTTTTTCCCACATGGAAAGTTGAAAATTGTTTTCACTCCCCTGCTCCTCAGGAGGAAGTTTCCCAGCAGCAGGAAAGTGTCTCCACTCTGCCTACCAGTGTGCATCCTCAACTTTCCCAGCGGCAGAGTCTAGAAACCCAGTACCTACAGCATAGACTCCAGGTGGGATCCTTCTCCTTGTTCACCCAGCTCACTTTGTCCATTCAAAATCTGCCTTTCTGCACAGCCTTATGCTGTGTCAGTAGTAGGAAAGGACTGGTCTTCAGGCCTTTCAAAGGATATGACAAGGAGTGGTAGGAAAGGGAGACCTGACTTCTTCGTTTCTAATTCTATACTTCTATACTGATAAAGAAAATGAAAATCTGGAAGTCTGCAAAATGTTAATATGTCTGTCTGCACTAGGATATGAAGATTCTAAGAAATAATGCATTAAGAATGAAACATTCATTCAGTAAGTGCTGGTCCTTTACTATCAAGATTTATGGCTACTTTTCTCGTTGTTTTGAATCACCATGAACCTCATTATCCTAGAGGACTTTCAGAAGTGGAAAAAAATTAGATCAGAACTGAGTCACCCCAGCCTGCTCACCAGTGCCCTTCCAGGGTCTCAGTGAGCGCATGTCAGTCCCTTCGTCCTGTGTAGAATCTGGAGGTTGCCCTTGGATTCACCCTTGAAACAGAAGCATGGTGAGATGACTGCCTCCTGGGTGACAGCACATGATCATGCTTGTATTGTTTTTGTGCTTCCAGAAGCCTAGCCTTCTGTCAAAGGCGCAGAATACCTGTCAGCTTTATTGTAAAGAACCACCACGGAGCCTTGAGCAGCAGCTGCAAGAACACAGGTAAGATGGGGTATTTGGCCAGTGAAGTCGCTGAGTTTTGTGGAAGCCCTAAGAATGCTGTGTATTTTCCCTTCCCATTCATGTTTGCCTCTGCTAGAAACATAGGTTTTGCTGCATGTCCCATGGCCTTTTCAAGCACAATTGCTAATGAGGCTATTTCAGCATCTGTGAAGTATGGGCCTGTCTGGCAATACCAGCCCCAAAATGTGCTTTGTTTTCCTTTTCTTCTAATACTTCCATTTTGGAATATGAATAACCCTCAGATTTTAGGACCAGTGGCCTGAAGCAGTTTGAGTGAGTTAGACTGCAGGAAAGCCTCCTCTCTTGCCATTGCTCATGCCACCCAGAGGCCTCACTAGTAGAAACAGCTTGACCAAGGCTTACCCTAAACTATAGGCAACCCATAGAGGCCAAGATGTGATCTCTCTTTCATACAATCCAGATGAAAAAGCAGTCTCTCACTTCATAGAGAGAGAAACAGTATCTTGCAGGATAAGCATTTGTGCTCACTTAACTCCAAGGGGACAGTGAAAATTAGGGGGCAAAAAGTGAAATTAGGTTTTAGAAGCACAACACAGTGGGCTCCTACTTGCAGTTTGTTTTCCTTACATGGGAAAGAAAGAAATGGGGACCTGAAGCTAATTCTTGGTATTGGATTTTCATTAAGATCACCATCACCTGAGAAGATCTAAAAACGCTCTCCTTTGGTATTACCAATTTAGGCTCCAACAGAAGCGACTCTTTCTCCAGAAGCAGTCTCAGCTCCAGGCGTATTTTAATCAGATGCAGATAGCAGAGAGCTCCTACCCTCAGCCAAGTCAGCAGCTGCCCCTTCCCCACCAGGAGACTCCACCGCCAACCCAACAGCCCCCACCCTTCAGCCTGACCCAGCCCCTGAGCCCTGTCCTGGAGCCTTCTTCTGAGCAAATACAATACAGCCCTTTCCTCAGCCAGTACCAGGAGATGCAGCTGCAGCCTCTGCCCTCCACGCCTGGCCCCCGGGCTCCTCCTCCATTGCCCACACAGCTGCAACAGCAGCAGCCACCGCCTCCGCCACCTCCTCCACCACCACAACAGCCTGGAGCTGCTCCAGCCCCCTTGCAGTTCTCCTATCAGACTTGTGAGCTATCAAGTGCCACTTCCTCTGCGCCAGACTATCCCACTTCCTGTCAGTATCCCGTGGATGGAGACCAGCAGAGTGGCCTCACAGGTCCGGACTGTCCCAGGAGCTCAGGACTGCAAGAGGCGCCCTCCAGCTATGACCCGCTAGCCCTCTCTGAGTTACCTGGACTCTTTGATTGTGAAATGCTAGATGCGGTGGATCCACAACACAATGGGTATGTCCTGGTGAATTAATCTCAGCACAGGAAGTGAGGTGGATCTAGTAAAGGCAGACTGTGTATTTTTATTTTTATTCCAGCCTTTTAAATTTAAAGCTTATTTTCTTGTCCTCTTCCTAATGGGGAAAAATCAAGTCGCCCAACTGGAATCAGAGGACTTGGCTGGGATGGATGTGCTTCCTCCTGGCTCTGTCCCACCACAAAGTTTTCTGTGGGCAAATGCTGGAACATAGTTGCAGGCTAAAGCTCATGTCCTTAGGTGAAGTGAAGCCAGCACTTGAGGGAGGCACCAACAAATGTTTTTTATAAGACAACAACATTCAGACCTGGGTTTTATGCAAAATTATACCAGTTCATTATTGAGGGAAACCTTGGTGAAAGCAGGAACAATGTGTGCTGTTGCGTAGGAATGCGTGTGCGTGCACGTGTGTATAGGGCAAAACAAAAATACAATATATTTTTCACTGAAGTCAAGCAACAGCATTGCTTCAAGGCAAATCAAGAATACATAATGGAATTTGATGCACAGGAGTAAAGTTGTACTTTGTCATTGAATCCTAAGTTCTCAGCTGCTGATGCAGGTTGTTCCCAAGACTTGAAAAGCAGTGGAGCATGAGCTGTTTCAGGGCCCACTAAGTAACAGCTGGTACTGACCCCTGACACCTGCAGTCGTCTCCACCTGGGAGAAGGCGACACACCTCTTCAGAAGGTGCCACTAGGTTACCATGTGTCAGAATATACTCAGGGCTCCAAAGATGTCACCCATAGAACCAACAGGAGACCCACCACAGTGGAGGCTGGGGGCAAGAAACTGGAGAAAGTATCAGGAGCACCAGCCCTGGGCCAGGAGACAGGCTCTTTCTGCACGGTCTCTTGAGGAGACTTCAGGCTGGGGCATTTGGTCTCCAGAGGACCTCTCAGGTCTTCTACAGTGTAGTAACTCCTTTGACTTTACACTCTATGTTGCTAGTAGTTTATTGAGCTTTGTATATTTCGACAGTTTCATATAGGGCTTAGAAATTTTAAGGACACAAAAAAATGAACTTTTATGTCCCATGTGAAGTGGTAGTGCTGTGCCTTTTCCCCACCATGCTTTAATTCTTTCTTTTCTATAGAAATCAAGTTTTCCATTAATGTCAATGCTAAATCCAAAGTCACTTCAGTTTATTTTCCACCATGTGGGAATCTGCATTCTTAATTTCCTTAAAGTTTTGACTTGTAATGCAATGTTCAAAAGTATTACAGCAATACTCAAAACAACACAAATGTGTTAACCATTTAAGCAGATCATCTGCCAAACATGTTATATTACTAGAAAAATTGAACCCTTACAATCATTCATCACAATAAGTGAAAAATAGATGCTACATTAGTTAACTGTATACCTAGAAGTAATGAGTAATCTGTCAATTTAGACAGTGACCTCCAGGTGTTACAAATTCAGTATTATTTACAAAAACCATAATTTCTGTCCTTTAGAGTGGCTTGTCCTATCAGCAGATGAAAGCGTTAAGCACAAAGCGTCTTCCTTAAAGCACAAAGAGAGACGCCACACTGACGCTGCATCTAGAAACACCTTTAAGTTGCCTTTCCTCTTTGTAGTAAGTGTCCAGGCAGGGAAAGGAAGCATGCAAGTGGAGGAGATTGTTCTGGACCCAGCCCAGCCCCTGCCAGTGCTGGTGAATTTAGCAGTCCTTGAAAGTGGCCAGGGACTGGTAGGCATAGGGGCTCCCCATTGATGCCAGGCTGCTTCACAAAGGAACTCTGCTTGGATTGGGACTCTGGGTATCAACAGGAAAGTGGGAGGGGGGAGACTTGTCATTTTTGTGATTTAATAACACAATGAAAATCCAGGAAGAGTGAATTATGCTCCTTTTATGGGTTGTTTATTCCTGCTTGTGCTTAATATGGATTTCTTGAGATAGAAAATATTATTTCTTTTCATCATTTCATGAAGATCTATTTTAAGTCTTTGCAAAATAAGTCAATTACTGGGGCTGGAATAGCTCAGAGGTATAGAGTGTTTACCCAGCATGCACAAGGTCCTGGGTTCAATCCCCAGCACCACAAAAATAAAAAAATATTAGACAACAATAATTTTTAAAAAGCCAGTTATTAAACAGGGATTGATTTGTTTAGACTGAAGGGGGATGTTTTCCTCAAAATACTACAGAAGTGTTTTGATGTCATCGAAATTAAAATGCCTCCCAGCATCTTAATGAAACTGGGGGCCACTCATTTCAGGACTGCAGGAATGGCACAATTACAGGTTGGCATAGACTCCTGTCCCCAAACAGGGCTGTGAGCCGCTTAGCCCAAGAGACCTAGGAGCTATGTCAGGACAGTTACATGACAACATGAGGGACTGCGCCGGAGAGGCTGTTGGAAGGTTACAGGACCAAAAGATAAGTGGGGAAGCACCAGCAGTGGCCAGGCCTGTTAGGCACTTACAGGGCGATGATATGGACAAGTCACCTGTGAAGAGCACAACCCTCCTGCTGGAACCTCTGTTGTAAGCGTCTGTTTGCCTCTGTCACTGATTCCCAGCAGAAATCAATAAATTCCACAGCCCATGTATTTCCTGAAATGTAGTGGTAAGCAGAGACTGTTTCTGTTGACCTGTTAGGTGTTTGCTATCTGTCGCCTGAATGGCTCTGTTCCTTAACTAGTGACCTGTGGAAGCTTCTGCGAGTTTTCCCTTCACAAATACTACAGTAACACTAAGAAGGCTTAGGACCACTCCTGAAGTACTGACTTGCTTGCCGGTCTGTCTCACATCAGCAGTGTGTACACTACTGTGTAATAATCATTATTAGCTTTATTAGCTTGTAAACCAGACTTCTCTGAAGAGACTTTGGTAAGATGAACATGAGGTAAAAATTTCATTCAGCAAAAAGTGCAATACGTGTGGTACTTTTTTATTTTTTGTTTATGATCTCTTTAATCCAGGGGTATTAGTCTCTGCTTTGAGGAAAATGCACTAGTTCAGCAGTTTCCAGTTGGGCGAATGTGTCTCTAGTATTTACATGCAACTGACATGCTGGTCCCTGTAAGGCAAATAGAGCATGTTAATATAAGAGAAAGAGGAGGGGGAAAACACTTAAAATTCCTCAGGAGCTCCACTGACCAGCCCCAGCTCCACCACCACCACCTCTACTCTGGCCTATACTGCCCTCCTACTACCTTGGGATCAGGAAAGGGGACAACAGAGAAACACCAGGAGGACTAGAGATGAAACTGAATTACTGTTGAAGTGACAGGAGCAAAACCCCTTCCTGTCAGACTTTTGTCCCCTAGGAAAGAAAAAAATCCTTCCTCAGAAATCAAGAATTCCCAAGTGTTTAAATCATGTCCTGGTGTTGGGGAGGCAGGACTGAAGTCAGCCCTTGCCTTTTGTGCTTTGTTCTGACTCGAGTGATGGGGGCTCTGCACTGTTACGGGGAGCCCCTATGGAGTAATGCCCTCCACCCTGCCCTGACCTCTTCCTCCTCCCCCCTTGCACTGGGTGTTGTTCTACCTAAGGGAGGGAACTCATGAAGACCTCTGCCTAGTTGTTAGAATTGGGAAGGAGAACATGTTCGCAGCTGGAGAGTGATTAGATGATAAGCCAGAAGCTACGGCAAGGTGAAAAATAGCAGCTTCCAGTGGCAGTTGGCCAGTTGGTCAAGCTGTTCCCATGCCCACACACATGCCAGGTATGAGAGCATGAGAACAGCCTTTGATTAGGAGTGGACTGCTCAGCACCCAGGACACAGTAGGTGCTGCCTCCTTTGCGGGGTTCTCCAACCTCTGGGCAAGCCCCAGTTTCTGAAGTGTATTGGGATCAGCTTTTTCTGTTCTGGATTACACTTAAAAACCTATATAAGCTCCCTATATTGGTTTAAAGAAAATTAATTTTTAGGTAACATTTTCACATTCCTCCCCCTTTAGAGACAATACATAGTGTCACTTGACAACATTGGTCCCAGTGAGCAGCTGCGGAATCCCTGTGCCGGGACTGACCTTTGCTGCATTTGTACCCCACACTGGGCTGCCTCTACTGCCTCCTCGGAAGCCACCCAAGCCGCTCGGTCTCTTTGTGCCTAGACATCAAAGGTAAAAACTGGAGAACAGGTAGTAAGTTGGAGTCATGTACAGGCAGGGATATTTGATCATTTTGTTGCTTCTGGAAAATTTTTTTACAGAACTTATTATCTTCAGAGTGAATTTGTGGAAGACAAAAGCAGTATCACCTATCTGCCTCTGTTTTTAAACTGGACAAAACATTTTAAAAAGTATATTATTTATATATATATATATATATATATATATCTATAGTCTGTCCTCCCCGGCCTGTGACACAGGCAAATGACTTTGAGACTCCAGAGCTTTTTTTGTCTGCCCTCAAAGGTGGCTGGGTGGACAAGGCAGTGGCCTTCCAGGGCCCCTTTGGCCCTAGAGTCTCTGGTCTTCAATACCCTCTCACATATTTGTTCTACTGGGTTTTTTCCAATTAAGTAAACCTGGCTGACTTCTAACAGACTCCCAGCCATCCTAGTTGCACCACCATCTTATGTTCACATATTATCTGGGTGGATTTCAACACATTTGGCAGATGGGACATATACTGTTGCATATATTGAGACAGGGAGCAGCACTGCTGCCCAGGGACAATCAGTGATAGTTTTGATGATCCCTCCCCAAATATTCAGTTTGCCTGTCCAAAAGGAGCACTCACTTCTATTTTTAACTTACCAAGCATTTTCAAGTCATCTCTTATAATCCTCACAACAATTCTATGAAATTGGTTGGGGAGGTACTGTCCCAGCTGAGGAAACCAAAGCTCTCTGAGTGTGTACGTGACTTATCTGAGGTCACAGAACTCTAGTTAAAAGTGGAGGAGCCAGTACATGCACTTGCTTCTCGAAGGCTTCTCTTTCCCCTCAGTAGTACCTGATTATTTTTATAAGCAAACAGCTATATAAACCCATTGTGGCCAAGCACCGGGTGAACGTAACATTGTTCCCACAGCTGCACTCTCCACTGGGCAGCTGCCTGGCTTTGGGAGAGAGGTGCCCTTCAGCAACTGTCCAGGTGCCCTGCATTGGTCCAGGCTGAGGTAGACAAAACCCACAAACTGACCATCCCCTCAGTGCCCATTAAACTACAGAATTTTAGGGTCACATCAAAGACCCTACCTTTTCCAAGTTACACACACACAATGATTCCCTGTGGAAGTATATGATGGAAGGACACACCCTTGATTGCCAAGGGGCCAAGTTGCAGGGCATCAGCCCACCACTGCTGCAGGTCACTCATTCAAGCCCAGGGAAGGGGGCTACTCAAGAGAAGAATCACAAACTCACTGTTACCTGAAGAAGGGCGTAAGGTTCTTTACCGTGAAATCTAGTCAATTTGTGCTTATTAGACACTTTTAGGATTAAAAAACAGTAACATGCTTTGAATGAATACTTTGACTTTTCAGAGCCAAAGAGGGTGGGTAACAGGGAGCTTTAAAAATAGAATTACAAAACAACATCCTGGAAAAATATGACCCCAGATGGAAAAATGTTACATTAGCAAATACAGATAGCTGGGACTTGCCGCTGGCTGGGTGATGCCTCTCTTTCAAGATTTGCTCAGACAAGAGAATTCAAGTGGTACCTTCCCTCTACTGAGGGTGAAAGAAATCTGCCTTCACCAAAATCTCTGAAGGGGAAAGAAGCAGAGAGAAAACAGAGGTTGGCTTCTCTTTAGGGACTGCAATTTAAGAAATAAAAGTAATAGAAGTATTTGCACTTTCTAGAAAGGGCAAGATTATTTGCTTATTTCTGAAGGGAGAAGGGTGGTCTTGATGGATGTGTGGTCTGTGAAAGAATTACTTTTGATAAAGTTAATTGTAGTTATTTTTTCCGTGTGCTGTTTTTTAATTACTAAGAAAATTTGGTGAGTTCAATAGCTTTGGTATTTTGAGTGCAAATCATAATAGCTCCAATGTGAAAAAAAAATCAAAGTGTAACATGTCAATGTTAGAAAATTGCCTAAAATGCAGTTTAATAAATGATCTTTGTACCAAACGTAATTTAAATGGGGTAATTTTCTGCAAGGAAAATGTACTGTTTTTATGTTTCCAACCCTCTTGAATTAAAATAAAAACAACTTGTTTTCTAAGAGCCTGGCTGATATGAATGTGAGACTAATGAGATTGGTCTCTACCTCATGGGGCCTTGGATGGAATTTTAAAAGTGTGTGGAAGGTGGTTGTGTTCTCTAAGTTCTGGTGCTCATTTCAGGCTTCAGAAAAGGACAGTGGATAATATGTTCTCATTGACGTCAGCAGGGTAAATAATACCTTGCTCTGAATCGCCTGAGTACACGTTCGCCACTGTGGATCGCTGACGGAAGCGCTGCTAACCGCAGCCTGCACACAGACAGGGCCCCGCTGGGCCTAATTAATGCTCCTTGATTTAGAGTCTCAGGACAAAGCCCATCAACCCAGGTAGTCTGGGCCAGTGCCTTCTGCTGCAGTAGGAGGAGGGAGTCAGGCACATGGGGATGTTGTCCCGGGCTGTCCAGCTCCTCCAGAACAGACAAGGCTGCAAAGCCAGTGGTGGGACAGAGGGGGGAGGTGCTCCAAGCTGCCAGGAAAGTCAGCAAGACACTGCTATTGAGTCACAATGTCACTTCTGCTCTGAAGTCTGCCAAAGGCCCACACTGCCAATTCACACACACCATGGACTCCTCAGTCCACTATCCTTTGAGACCCAACTGTGCCCTCAGGGTGCTAGAGAATCCATTTGTCAAGCTCTTCTCATGAGTTCTGGACTTTGTGTGGTGCCAGACCCTGAGTGAAAGGGCAGGATTAAACCCTGCTTTCTGGCAGCAAGTTCAACTGGAGATTTGGTTTCACTCAAGCTGTCCCAAAAGCCCATGTTATATAGAACCAAGGGAGTTCCCAAACAAG